AGACTTGGGGATTAATATTCGTTTGCGAGGGGACTTCGAGTTTTTTACCAAGATTTATTGCTCCCTTTGTTATAGGACAACTGTGGGAATTTATATAAACGCAGACGGAGACGGGAGATCAGAATTCCCCCAGGATCTGAAAATATTGAACTATCCATGTCGAATTTTTAATCGGTAGAACGAACGATTTTAGGCGAAAGGAATAAAGTAGGATTTATTCGAGTCCTTGACAGTTCAATATTTCCCGTGATTTCGATAAAGTTCGGTCTCCCGTCGCGGTTATTAATTCCCGGCAGCGGAACAAACGAAATCCGCGATCCATATGCAAATAGGATGTCGCCCGGAGTGTCACTGGTTCGATTTAAAATATATTAAATTGAATTCTTGAGGCGGGATGAATTCGTATCCGGCGAACGGCGGACCGGCGGCCGCGGTGATCGATCGGACGCCGCGTGAGAAAGTATCGTAACAAAGTGCCGAATACTTTTTCAGTGTTCCGGGACACTTAACGTGATTCATCGATTTAAAGAATCTCGCCGGCGATCCGTGCGGGGAGAAATATAAGGGCGACGGAGAGAGCCGCGGCGAGAAAGGATCGCGCAGGGGTGCGCAGGGGCGCGAGTAATTTGTCTAAAAGTTCAGGAAGGTAGAAGGAAAATTAGCGGGAGCCGTGGCCGGGCTATTTGTTATCGAGGTGGCAATAATGCCTTCCACCGCCCGGCCTGCGGAACTTTGCAGTCCCGGTGATAATTAAACTTAATAGCGTTACGTTACCTACCGAAACCAGAAAAATTCGCCGACTAAGGGCCGCAATTTGTAGAATGAAAGACGCGGCAATACTTCCAGCCGGCGCGCTTGTCTTGATTCAGCGGTGCGGATTCTTTCTCCGCGGCGGACCTTTCCTCGGAGAATGAATCAAGCGTCGCTTGAAATCTAACGGAAAGGAGGAATGAAAGTGGAGCGTTTTTTTTCTCGCGCCACGTGTTACTTCTTGGGTGATTCGTCAACTCGGAAATTCATTCGTCGGAATTGGAAGATGAAATTTGAAGGTATTAATAGTCCGATGATGCTTGAACCGATATTCCTATTTCAAAGCGCGTTTCTATGTCACGGGACAAAGTAATCGCGGTAACTATTCGCGGTCTGTGTCAAGGCAACGGTCAACCTCTTTCTAAATGTCAAGCGTTGAATCAACGGGAGGAGCGTTTAAATGTATCTTAGTGTTTACTATTAACAGGTGTGTCCATTTGTGTCCGATAATGAAACGATAGAAAAATATTTGTAATATAGTAGGAGGTAAAGAGTTATAGTTAACAATAAATGAAGCATGTATACGTGGTGCGATAAATATGAAACGTGACATGAAAGACGAGTTAGCGAATACGTGAAACGAAATGAAATTATGAAGACAGCATCGGCACGAAAACGAGATTTAGACGTACAATCTTGTGACAGAGCCGTGGACCATATTTTCTAATAAACAGTATACAGGTGACTCAAGAAAAATGTTATCAATCTAGTTTCCTTTCGAAACGAGCGCCGAGCGGGCTACGCGTCTCGCGCCGATTGAATTGATAAGGCGAAAGAAACAATTCCGAGAATAGATTGGAAGTTTCGAGGCAATCGAGTCGGACGAGACGGGCGTGTGTATCGTCGCGATCTATTGAACAACATTAGATGAAACTTTGCTTTGTCCGTGTTCCACTTTGATGTTTGTTCTTGCCGAGTTGCGCCGCGGGGACGGTTCGTTTCGGAAGACAAGCGGTCGCGTGCATTTCTTCAGCTTGACCGGATACACTTCCGAATGCCGGCTGTGCCTTAGAAAGCAAAATAATATCCTCGTAGCAACAAATTACTGCTGCCTCAGAAAACAATGTTCCGTTTATGAAGAACGCCTAAATTGTGTGTGTGTGTTGTCAATGAAACTATTTTCGTTGGAAATAAAACAAGTTCCCAGCGGAGATCTGTTTCCTCTGGAAGATACAGTTCCGTGATTGTTGTCTGACTGCTACTCCACTTTTCTACTTGCACTGAATAGCGACGACAGATAAATAGCGCTTGAATCCCATTCTTCCTCGATTCACGTGGAACTAATCTGGAAACTAATCTCGTGTATGATAATAACTTGATTGCCAGTTTCTATGCACTCGTATTTGTGTCACTATTATTTGCATACTGATTGTCTCTACCTACATTGGACAGTAACTACAATTACACCGCACACTTTTGTGCGTGTACAGCAGCGGACTGAAGTCCAGTAAAGGTAGAATTTTAACAATACTAAAAATTGATCTTTTCGCACTCGAAACGCTTATTCGCCATTTGATTGAACGCAACAAAATTATAAACTGAAAAATTCAATATAAAATGTTGAATTAGGCATTAACACATGAAACAGAAATAAAACAACTCTGCCCCATAATTCATGCAAGATGTTTCTTTATGTAAGTTGCAAATAATATTGTTAATATGTCGTCGGAAAATAATGAGTGTTTGTAATGAAAAATGTACAAAGACTTAATACTCTCCTTTTCACACTGAAAATATTTAATTAACCCAGTTCGGTTTCCTTATATTCCAGTGTTGAATTAGAAATTTCAAGTAACGGTCAGACGCCGTCAAAATATAAAACATGCAGGATTTAAAAATTACGCGTCGCCCTGTTATTTCCATCCGAATGTCCTCGAACCGAAAGCGCGAAACGAGACCAGCCCGCGCTCTACATTTCCCATTTATTTTTCCGCGTAGACCGGACCGCTCTTGTCTCCCGTCCGTGAAACAGTTCCGCGTAGAACAAATACCCCGTTTCAATCCACGGCGCGGCGATAGTTAGCTCGTATCAATATTAATATAGAATTGTGGCCTCGGGTTTTAAGACTCGAGAGACAGCCGTGTTATCTGGATGCGCGCGGGAGGCGGCCCTTTTCCCCCGATTGGGCCGCGTGTGCCGTCTGGCGAACGGAAATTAAATGAAAATCGCTCAACTCGCTGCTCTGACGGGAAATGAAAATTGAACAGTCGTGTGTGGAGAGAGGAGTGGATGAGCGGCTGGCTGATCCGATACCTACATGTACAAGGTGCCTTAGTTTTAAATAATTAAACTTTACCAGTTCGATCTGGCAAAAGGAACGAGGATAATATGTTGTACGAACGTAGGTTTTTGGATGATTTATGGAGAAGTTATGGGAGATAATATTCAGATAATAGGATAATAATATGGGAAATAATAGTAAGATAATATTATAGAAAATAGTAAGTATATCGAAGAAATCTTTACATTTCCGTTTGAAACTGTTTCGAAAGCTTGACGTCCTTAGAAAATTGAATTATTCACACTTCGAGTTTAACGTTCTATGTATCATCATGCTAATAATATTACATAGTTAATATTATTTCAGTTTAGTTTCACATTTTTCGTACCGCTTGTCTATGAACTGTTCCCAAATCTGCGTTCATACGACACTTTTCCTTATGTCCGTAAAACGCATCGATAAAGTTCGATCCTTTAAAACAGTGGCACCCCGTATATACACGTGGAACTGTATGTACCACATATGTACACGTACACGGAGGTAAAAAATACCGGCAGAGCGGAGATACATAAAAGGTAGGAACAGTAAAGAACGGAATGCATACTGGAGAGAGATTCAGGATTTACTATCATTTCAATTTTTGCGGAAAATAAAATTTTCGAGCAGCGGTGCCCAGACGCGAAAATATTCGATACGTTATTACGCCGGAATCTTCGTGGTATTATTTCCATCGCCCTCTGGGTCCCGATCGAATCTCGGTCACGGTTGTTATCGGTGGGTTTCATTTGCTGCTCGGGATTTTGGTTTCTCCTTTTTATTCCGACGTCATTCCGCGACGATTCCGGAGATTGATATGACCGTCGGAATAATCCGCCACGGGGGAGAAGCGACCGAGGATCGCTGTCGTGTTGTTGCGCGGCTGAAAGAGGACCAAGACGATCCGCCGGATTACCGTGAAACTAATTTTAGACAGACACTTCTGATTTCGAAGTTCGCATTGACGAGTTTCGCTGATTGCTCGGGGCCGGATCGAGTTCGATATCTGCACCCGAAGTTGCGTCAATTTCCAGCGGCAAGTTTCGTTTCATGGGTTTCGAGAGGTATTCGCAAGGAACGTTTCAGCGATCATAGTTGGAGCGTGTTCGTAACCGATGATCGTCTATCGGTTGTTACAGCGTTCAGAAGTTTTCGTTGTTTAAAGATAGTCGTGCTTCTGATGTGAATGTACAATTAAAAATAATTGAAAAGTTCTTGTAAAAGACACTCTAAGCGTCAAAAATTCTGTTCCTACTCTCATATTGTAGTATACAATTTGAGTGAAATTTTGCTTTTGTAAGGGGTCATCAATGACATTTCTCATTCGTAATATTCATAATATTGAAAGTTCTTTTTCTTTCTTCCTCCTGAAAAATTTTATATTTCCACTTACAACCGTTTCTATAAATACTCTTCGATTCTTTTAAAATGAAAATAACATTATTAACCGTTTGGATGCTAAACAACTTTTGCGAATATTTACCAAAAATGCGGAAGTGGGTGTGTATGCAGAAGAAATTAATAAGAGTAGTTATCTAATGAGATCACAAATATTGTGTTATTACAAAAAATATCAAAAAATTTACTTTGATTTATTTCTTGAAAAACACAGTAAGAAAATTATAATTGATACTGCTAAACAGAAGCGCCTCCGCGCTCTCCGCAATTTTGGCGCAACAGAAGAAGACAGCTACAGCGCTCTTCGGCACCCAAACGGTTAACTATCCTTAAATTAGAAATAGGTTGAAAAACATATAAACCAATTTACTACAACGCGTTGCTGATAAATGCTGGATGCCTTTAGCGTCCCATGCCCTGAACTCAAGATCGATTAACTTGCGACAAACTTGAAGGAGCGACGCAATAATGAGATGATAGACGCTGCACGATTAAATTATGTAATACAAGTTATCGCAGCGACAAGACACTTACGGTCCCAGCACCGGGATCGCTGATCTTGCAGGGCAAAGTGGCGGTGCTTCTGCTTTGCGCGAGGACCTCAGTGACGGGACCCTTGATAACATCCTCGCCTTTATCGGCGGATTCCTTTAACGGCACCACCTCGTTGTTGGCGCCTGAGGATCGCTGGTGCTCTGCCTGGCTGCCTGTAAAGTAAAAGTAACACGATATACTACTTGAAACACTACATGCTCCTGCACTGAAAGTGCGATAAACTTGTTACACTCCATTAGTTCGTAACTAACCGAAATTAACCGTTTTCCTATGTAAAACTCCTTCGCACACCTTCCAGAAACAATTGACTACAAGAATTCTAGTGTCTCCCTACAACTTAATCAACTTAACCTTTTGAACTCTGTAGGCTCCAATATTGCACCAGTTCTAATATGAAATTTTTTAGTGAATTTTAAGAAAACTACCTTAAGATTATTAGATCTTCCAAATATAAAGTTTGTACTGAGAAGGGAATTAAATATCTAAGAAATGTTATAACAGTGTTAATTTTCAGTAGGACTACTATCAAAATTGGTAGGAGTTGCTGACACGTCACAAAACTATGTGGAGTGCTAAGGGTTAATCAATCCCAATACAAATATCACTTATCACGAGTTAAAAAGTTCAATTATTACAAACGAGCTGAAAAATTCAGAATAATCTGAATCTAGAAATGCTTAAAAAAATTCAAAACAAGCTTACAATTTAAAATAATTTCTCAGTTGTAACCATAATCCACGCATCGTTCCGTCTATATTTCCCCCGTTCGCGGCAGATTTTCCGATTAACCAGAATAAATTTCCATGGAAATCCGGAAGAACGTCCGCAGACTCGGTCGCGCCGAAAATCTGGCTGGCTTTGGTGCCTAAGCGCAGCCGCGATCAGAGATTAAGGACGATTTTCGTGGCGAAGGGCACACAATAAACGCCGGATGCCGAGGCAATGGCCCGGACAGGATTCCTCTGCCGCCTCGAGATTAATGCAGCCTCCGTCCCGGCGATAACGCATAACCCGACCGTCGCGGTAAGTGGCTTAAACGAATAACTTAGTCTCGCGACAATTACGCGGCTTTGCCGCGTGCGTTCGCCGCCGCGGCGAACGGGCTGGTACAAATCTACTAGGCTCACGTGGGAAATTCACTTCGAAAACACTTAGTTCCGCTGAGCCGTTCCCGGCGCCGCAACTCGCCCCGCCGCTGTCCCCAGCCGTTCGCGTTTCACGCTGTATGCGCATATTTTTCCGTTCGGAATCTGGGTCGCGATCCGTTCCGCTCCAGCCGACGGAACGTTACGACGGGTTGCCAGAAATAATTGAAGAAGTTCGTGCCCTTAGGCGGATAAGGGATCGATCTGAAATGATACGTGGACGTGCTCTCGATGCTGAGGTTTCTCCTGTGGCCGAAAAGCTGCCTTACGCCACTGGTTTTCCCTTTTTCACTTTCTACCGTTGTAACTGTTCCTCCACGCGAGTCTGCTTCGTACAATCGCACATTTGGCGACCAGTCCCTAGCGGGCCTGCAGGATTTTCCAAAGGTTTTCCAGGCCTCGCTCGGAACTGCCCAGTCGACGGGCAGGCCCTCGCAGGCCTGGAAACTTCCCACTTTTTATTACGCACCTCTTCACTTGCCGTTTCACCGTTATCCTTCTTCTTCTCTATCTTTCGAATCTTTTCTCTTCTTCTCGATCTTCTCCTACTTTTCCATCTTTCACAATGTGTTAACATTCAGTCGACAAGTTTAACGGAGGATTAATGGAGGATGGATGGATACTGATTTAGAATATCGGTAATCGCGTTTATCCCGTCAGTCATCGCTGATGTACTTAATTAATCTAGCTCTCATATCGAACACACGTGCATTGAATGTGGAACGGCAAGTGCAACGAAGAATAATTTCATTCCGAACTCCTTGAAATGTTAGATGTAAGGAACACATTCGACTGGTTAACTCAGAATCAATATTTCTACACTGCAGAACGCGCGCAGAACGAAAACCCCTTTGACTTTATATCACAGGTTCCTCAATCTTCCATAGAACATTCCCCTTAACCAAACAATAACATAGAATTCTTTCCAAACTGAAAGCGTTTATTACAAAAACTGTTCCTAAGTATCCAGAATCCCGCTACACAAATTAACCAGCAGGCCCTCTAATCAACCCAACCATCCCTAATAACGACTGACGCAGAATCTACCTCCACGAAGTCCCCGAACAGAAACCTCCGACCTCTCTCGACACATCGAACCAGCCTCGTTTGCGACTGGCGAGGTTTCTCGGGTATCGTTTAACTGCAACAAGGCCCCGCCAATAAGATTCGTCCACCCCGTAATAAGATTGTAGTCGTATGTCGTATAACTCGCACACACAGCTAAACGAGGACGAGAGGAAGCGTCTGTTCAGGCGGCGCGTACACTCGAGCAGTGTACACAATGAAAACGTAGGCAATTAGCTCTCGTTACCGTGGCGCGAGGCTCGTTCGACGGTTCGTTAAACCTGACCTGCTTCGCTGTGGCCGCGGATCGTCCCGCTGACGGGGACCGAACGCCGGAGAGAGGCGAATCCTCTGCCCCCCTCGCGTTGCGCGGCGATCGCACGCGAACGCGGAAACGGGAAGCTCGCACGCGACCGTAGATCGACCGGTTTTCTTCCCCGGGACGAGAGCGAGGCCCGGCCCGCTCCGTTCTTTCTCTTCCGACAGCTCGGCCTAGATCCGACGCGACGGCCTGGCCACCGGAAGCCTCCGCGATTTATTGCGTTTTTATTGGCACCGTCGCTCACCGTTCGCCGCTATAATTTCCTTCGACGCCGCCCACGGAGCCCGCCGCTAATTGAAAAGTACACCGGCGGCCGTACACGGCTACGTTTACACGCGTCCCTGTTCGATCCTCTGTTTGCGCTACGTTTCGCACACACCGGCAACTTTTCGAAGAATCGCTCCCCGGAGCCTGCGCGTGACTTGGGATCGTTGATTTGTCTCGTATCGGCTAATGAGGAGAATCGATTTATCTTGATCGAATGTTTGTGAGTTTCGTGAGTTGAGGATCTTGTATCAGTGGTGTTTGTAATTGTTAACGCTTCGACTGCCAAGTAACCATCAAAGCTCCCATGCAATCGAAACGGTTTTCTTAATAAAGCAAAAACTAAGGAGGCAAGATTCTTCGTAGCGATTACTTTACTACTTCCCTTATACTTCACACATTCAATAAAACTTCGTTCGATACGTAACCAAGAAAATGTTCAAGATTACGGTAAAAATCGTGTCACCCGTGTTCGGGTGACGTGGCAGTTAAAGTGTTAAGGAGGAGAATGTTTGGTAAGTGTTAATGAGGAGAACGAAGTGATTCTAGTGTGGATCGACCTGTTTGAGTGTATCTGCTCGTAACATGAGAATCTTGGAGTGATCTACTTTGTAAGCATCGAGTTTGTTGGAATTTCATTCGTTGCATGGTACAATTGAAGTAATGGAAATGGGGACAAGGACGATTTAGCGGACTTATAACAATGTTGTTTTCAAATGGAAGCCTGGGAATGATACTCCTGCGAATTATGCACAAGTGTTTTAGTGTACTTTATTAAAACTTCCTTGAAGTAGAACGAGGATTAAATGAAACGCGACGCTGCGAATGAGCGGGCAAACTGCAGACGCTTGCGAATTTATGACACTTTTATTCGACGCGGTTTAATGCGCGCACTTACGGATTAGTCTGCAATAGAGCAAATGACCGTGAAGCTTTGAAATTTCATGGAAACGAGCACTTTTCACAGGAAACTTTCTTCTTGGAAATGAGAGCTATCGTATACGATCTAATTTGTTGGTAATCATTTTTTCTGTCGAGAAACAAACAGCTGTATGGTATTTACAAAGTACATTTAAAGATGTAATTGCGCAGTGTGAAGTGATTCTATTTGATTAGAATAATCGCCGGAGACTGTAAGAGACATTACGTCGTCCTGAATCGTTCGAGCACTTAGTACGTCTGTTATGCACTCAAAACTTCTAATGGGTACACACGAAACTATAGTTGCAAGTACTTCCAAGTATATGCACGTATAATGTGTGTACATAAATTATATTCATATTATATGCACCCGCGGCTCATAAGCATTAAAGCGCCTGTTGTGCATGAAGAAACCATTATGCCATAAAATGTTCCATAAAAACTGCACACTTCGTGCCGCCACGTGTAGCCTCATAACAATATAAAATATAATCTCCTTATCCTTTATATCCCCCCCATATAATACATCTATATTTTTAGGATCTACAATTGAAACACTTAAAACTGCATACCTTTACGACTTTAAAAATATCGAAACGAGATCGCATTCGATAAAAAATATGCTACATTCTAATTAAATTTGCATTTAGAATTCCCACAATCGGAGAACAAGAACAAACCGTTGGAAGGGGAACAGTAAATCCGCTCTCGAAAATGACAATATTTTCTGATTTTTCGTTTGTAGAAAATGATGAACGCTGTTACGCTCGCGCCGTTGATTTAAAAGTACGTCCCATTCACTGTGCCTGTACTTCATTCTGCTCTTTGTCGAACGATGATAACTAATCCGATTCGTGAGCGCTGCAGCTCTAGCCAATAGTAGAAATACGTTCGTTCAGTCTTTGTGAATATCGCGACAAAAAGCGAACTATAGAGCGCAGACTGTCCCGTGACCGATTGAATCTCCATTCTCTGCAATCACCGATTCCCCAGCTCCGCGCTATATACATCTACCCAATGTCTGACTAATTGTTTTTCTAGCAGTGCTCCATACCAGTCCACGCACAATATTCTACAACTCTGTCCATTTAATTTTCCACAGTTCACGATAGTTGCTAACCACTCGTCTTAAGCATCGTATCAAACTGACAAAAATTTGCAAAGAAACTATCAGATGTAACGAGTAAACGAAACGCTACTCTTCTATTATCAATAATTAATCTATACAATAAACATAGACATACAATCACACAATCCCTCTTTCTCCAAACGATTAACGACAAAACAATTCGCAATCAAGAAGAAATCACTGCAACAACTAACTAATTCAACATTCGATAATTCCATTACAAACTAACTCTAATTTCACCATAGAATAATCATGAATCCCATATGCATTAAAAGAAAACAGAACCTCGCAATTCTAACCACCGAGAAACACTAGTTCAAACACCGTTGAGAAAAGATTCGTTTACCTATAGAGCGAACGGCGCTCGAAAGTTCCGACATTCGTTCAATCACGAGGCAAATGCGGAAACGGCGCAGCCTGTAAAAAATTCCGGGATCCATCTCTAAACACGGAGAAGCCGTTCCGGCGTCCCGTTTTCCGGCGGGATCGAGTCGGATAACCTGCTGAATAATTTCTATAACGTCAATGTCGTTTCGGGCCGCGACGTGGCCCAGGCGATGGCGCTTAACGCGCGCGCGCCGTACTTTACAGGCTGGGCCGACGTGTCCCGCCGCGTTACGAGCTCTCCTAGCCGCGCGAAGCACCTTCTCGTTCGGCATTATCGTCTTTTTACGAGGTACAACGGCGATAGCGGTCGGGGCCGCGCCTCCCCGCGCCGTTGCAGCGTACTTTGTTGCCGCACGTGTGAACGGACAATGCGCGCGGCGCGCGATAAACGTGCCAGCGCCGCTTCCCGCGGCAGTCGGCTAACCGCTTGACGGCCAGATATAACGAACACCCTCGATACCGATTCCCCGCGTTACGGGGTTCGAAAAATATTCACTCCTCCGTGGGATTAATATTAGTCCCCTGCACTCGGGAGTTTCTCGCTAGGGATGTTCAATTCTTTGCACTAGAAAGTTTTCTCGTTGGATATATTCGTAGTTTTCTAATGAAATATTAATGGTACATTTCATGACTAATATAAATATAAACAAAAAACATATCATGACTAATATAAATATAAACAATATACACAAACAATATAAATAGAGTTACTCTGTTTCATTTCATTTATAATTACAGTGTGTGCAATTTTTGTTCTGTGAATTTTTTTTAAATGATTCCATGTGTAATTTGATTATTTCGTTTGAAAGCACTTTCTCACTATTTCGTAAGTTTCTAAACATTTTCTTTGCGGTTTCTTTTATGCGGTCCCTGTCTACAGTACAAAAGCAGGTTTGACTGTATTTAATTCTTTGTGCTAGAAACCTCCGTTTTGTCTCTTCCAAGAACCGTTTCGTATTTGTACACTGTCTCGTTCTCTTAAATTTGGCATGCAAATTTACATACGCAACGACAACGTAATAAACGTAAGAAATCGTGAGAGACTTAAAGAGATAGATTTGCAGGTAACGACAACATATTGAGGACCGATGAAAGTGAGAATGTCTGAACTGCGGAACCTATCCAGGCACAGCGTCCTTCGACAATCCTGTCGATACTCGCGAATGTTCTACAGATGTTGTGGTTGTGATGAGGGATAAACGTATGAAGCTGAGGGCGCTTTTCCTGTTCTACTTTCCCAGGGAAAGCTGAGGAGCACACGAGGGTGGGGATCGATACAGGAAGGATCGATCTTCACGAATAGGGAGTCGACGAATTTCTTTTGTCTTGGTACTCGAACAAACACATCTCACTTGAACGAAGCTACAAAGTTTTACTAATAGGTGCTATAGTTGTTTAATAATTGGTTAATAGATTAATACAGCTGATGCCTTTGCGAACGACGATTTTTAGAAGCCAAATCTTCCCCATAGGAAGCTAAATTAGATGTCGAACTTTTAAATACTAGAGAATAATGAAACTGTTACTAATCTTACTAATTTCGTATCGTTTACATAATTCAATTCTTTGATTGCGACTTCCGATTCTAGGTCGTAACTGTAGCCACTAATATAACACTCAATTTCTAAGGATTAAGCGTCCTAAATAGTACAGTCATTACTACATTTAATTTCTTACATACAACTTAGCTACAGATCGAATGATGGCTTACCAAAAAATTCCAAATAAGTTTTTAATTGCAAATAAGCGTCGACTGCATTTTGGCAGTGCCCGTCGACCGGGAACGAAAGGATTACTCAAGTTTTGATTAAAAAAGTGTACACAAGTTTCCGATGAAGCGCCCGGCGACGGAATATCGCGGGCGAGTTAACGGCCGGTCCAGTTCCCCCCCGCGAAACGAATTAATTACCCATCAGCGAGCTGCCGGAAATTCTTAAATTACGCTGCGAGGAGTTTGCGCGCGAAAATTAACGATGAACTGGGTACACTCGAGCGGAAGGTGTGTGCATTATCGAAAGACGTTTTAAAGCGTTTGCGTTATCATTCTGTGTTTATGAAGCGTAATTCAATCCTCGTCTCTCGTGTCTCGTATTATCATGTTCTTTGGTATTTGTTTCTTTCATTATGATATTAACGAGGAATTCGTGGCTCTTTGAAGAGGTCGAGTGGAATTTCATTTAGTAGTTTAATTACGCGATAAGGATTCAACTTTATGGAATTAAAATGGATTACAGTGAACACGTATAAAACGATTATCTTGACGAATATGAATCATAGCGCCATTTAGTAGCCGACATAACAGTTTATGAGACTTGATTCACCTTTCTTTGTTACTTACCTTCGCATAACATCAAATTTTATATATTCCTAGCACATATGGAGTACCTTGAAGCACAGAGTAGCTCACTTTCCCGTAAAACCTATCGGATACTATAAAAATATCAATTCTATACTAACGTCCTCAAATAACTCCATAAAATTATGCATCACCATAGGTGTCAACAGTATAAAGCCGCATCAAAACATCAGCAAGTTCGAAGCAGCAAAATCAAATTTATCCGAGCACCTGGGAGTGCGTCGATGATAACCTATCGACCTCCGCTATGGCCATATCCACGCCCATAACGTTATACGATCCACAACACTAAAACTACCGAGAAGTTAAACCGACTTTTTGAAATTCCTCTACAGAAACTTCAAGAGTGCATCTATCGGGACTTTAATTGATTTATAATTCAGCTTACGTATCGATAAATTAATTTCTTTAATAATTAGAGACAAATTTATGATCTTTTTAATAATCGCGAAGAAATGGCTCATTTTGACCCATTTGGTAGTTAGTGTTGAATCCTCGATGGCGCTTTCCTCGTTAATTTAGTTCCGCGAGTCGTTTTCAAATAGCTCGAACGATCGGAGGTCGCGCGATTTTGAATCTTGGATTTAGAACAGAATTCACCGTTCTCCACGGAAACAGTCGCTTTCCGAAGAATCGTCGGAAAAACGGTTCGAGTCGGAACCATCCGTCGGAAATGGCCGGCGACTGTCCCCCATTGCCGAAAATTGAATTCACCAATTAGCGGGGCAGTTGAAAATTAATTTCGACCAATTTTCGGGAGTCCCGGACAATTTGAAATCGTAAAACGCCCGGTTAATGGAGATTGCGCCGGCGTTTAATTAAACTTTCAATTAGAGCCGACGATCCCAAGGCGGTCCGCCGTGGCCGACGCGTACGCAGACCACGGTTGCGCGGTGATTCATGGGGAAAATACGCTGTCGGAGATCATCGATCGACGATGACAAGCTGGATCCGCGGGCTTTTGCCGCTCGAATCGAACGAATTCACTCGGGGGAGCTAAGTAAGGCGACGCCGGTGCTCCGCCATCGAGAAACGAATGGTTTATGGCCGTCGGAAAGTTTCCAGCCGCGCTAACGAGCCGAAAGTTTGTGCGGTCTTCGGGAACACGATAACCGGATATTACTTGTCAGCCATCAACTGGCACAGTGAATTAAGTGTTTTCTGTGTCAGCACAGAAACGACCGGGTGAAACGCGAGCGAATAAGAGCGCCGCGAAACGCGCTCATAGACCTGTCGCCTCAGACCGTGATTCTAACTTGACCTGTCTCCCTGATTTCTGACAACGTGGTTAATTCCTTTTTCGATAGTTCTGTTTACTCGGAGTCATCTCGGCTTTTTCTTTCATTGGGAACTGGGTCGTGAATTTTCTTGCCAATCGGTTTACTAATGTTGTCTTCTCAGATGTGTCCAACTTAGGGTAGACGTAATTTTAGGTTTTAGATTTCATGGATTCGGTTTTTATTTATAGCTATGCAGGTTTAGGAGTCGTTTAGGATGATTTAGATTTGACTGAAGGATAGGTTATATATAACTATAGTTTGGATATAGTTCATAAGTAGATCAAAGATAGATTCAATCTTAAGCCTTGATTATTAATGTGGTTATTAAAGTGAAAAAATAGAATATTGAATTATTTCATTGAATTACGTTAGTAATATAGACATTTTTTCAAATAATTATTGTTTAATTAAGCGAACTATAGTAATTCGATTTGGTTGGGGGTCGCCGGTGACCCCATGGCTTTCAGCGTGTTGAGAAATGGCGTAAACTTAACCTGAGTTTGCTCTGAATTTTCAGTTCCTTATTTAATTTAGATGTAACTCGTGACTCATTTGATTTATCGCGAACCTGGCATAGATGTCACGAAATAACGAGACCTAATGAATTCCTTTGCCAATACTCCTGTTTATTTAACGCACAGTCACCGTACCCGAAGCTTTCCTTCATCGCGAATTACACAGCAGACCTCGGTGACAGTCGTCCCACGATTATTTTGTGTAGGTTGTTTCTTATGCTAATGAGGAAGGTGACAAATGATACTACTCACCGGAGAGATGAAGCTGTATTTCCAGGAAAATGCTCGCCAGGATCAGCAGCGTTCTCATGTTGACAATTAATTTGTAACGTCGTTATTTCAGACGTTCATCGTAGGTATCTATAACAGAGAAAAATGAACTGGGTGAAGATACAGGCTTCCGGGGAAGATTTTTAATGAATTTTCTTTCGTCCAAGAGTGAGAGCCATGAGATAGTCATTATTCACGAGGAATCGCTGACATTGGCTTCAAAATATCTCCGTGCAATTCGAATCATTTTCATTTCTCAAACTTAAATGATGTACCGATTTTAACACATTGCGTACCGGCTAATTTTCAGAAATCATATTGCTATGTAATATATTTTAAATAGATAATCAATTCGAATCAAATTTTATACTTTTTTCAATGCTGTGGTAATTAGCGAAGTTGCATAGCTAAGTGTCTTTGTATAAAAACGAGATTTCTCGTTACCGGTACGCAATGTGTTACGATAACCTTAAAAATTTCATTGAAGAGAAAATTAGTCGAATCTCCAGTTTATTTTCATTCCAAGACTTTATTTCCAACGAAACTCTTAAGATTCCTTTTAGAATACGTGTTTGTACGAGTTCACGTAAGAATATGCAATTGAATTACGAGACACGAGCTACAAAGTTCGATACAAGCTAACAAGATCGGTGCCTCGGGATACGTTGGCTCAGAATTTTCTCTTTCTGCTCTGTGTCCACGTCAGTGTTCAAGTCCCCAGCAATCGATATCGGTTTTAGTAGGAGCGTTGCGATCTCTAGACCCTTCCCCGCTGGAAGCTTCAAGATTTCGCTACAAGTGGCCCACCTTTGTCAAGTATTTTCGACAGGGGTCACGAGAAGGGAAAAATGGATCGCGGAAAGTATCCGTTGACAAGGAATTCTCGGCGTGCTCCAACGTCCACGGATCCATTGAACTCCGAATATTTGTGTTATTCCACGAGACTTCTTGAAACAGGGAATGCTTCGAAAATATTGTTTCACAAATAATTTTGGAATACCCTTAGTCTACAAGGATATATTCTTACTCGCTTTTCTCGATGTAAACATGATTGAACGCACTGAGATAACAATTGCTTTATGCCAGTAATTTAAGAATCTCAACCTGATTAATACCTTTTCGTTAGGAAAACGATTTTCTGTTTCATATCGTAGAGGCAGATACAAATTTGAATAAATCATTAATACTAAAAAAATATTGAAACTGTGAAGACTAGATTGTACAAATTTATAGAAAATTTTAAAGTGCAACATTCTACAGAATGTACGCTTGAAAATATATACGAAATATCCAGAGCACAGTGCTTTCTATAGCGTTCATTAGGAAAAACTATTTTCAATCTCATGTTTGCTTTTCTAATTGTATTCTATCAAATTTGAATTTACAGGAAGTTTCACGGTTTACAAATAACTGTTGCAATTTTCAGTGAAATCAGATAACTCTCGAATAGAATTATAGACAACTCTATACGTTATGAATCATTTTGATTAACCACAGCGGCAGTTCAACAATTGAGAGGAAGTAAACCAGATCTTTGAATTTGAAATGCGAAACAGAGAATATAAAGCAGAATAGAAATGAAACAAATGGATACCGTAAGGAAAAGAAAGGTCTCGGCGATCCGTTCGACGGGCAATGGAACCAGTCGATTCTCCTTTAACCTAACGCCCCTTTAAATATTTAACAGGTCGGGCGGATGGCGTGCCGCAACGAGGTAGGCCGTCACACCGCAGAAATCGCACGAGTTTTGTAATACTATTTACATAAGGCCGCCAATCGATTTTCTTTGTAAACAGCCAACGGTACTCGACAGAACACGGCTCCAACTGACTCCGGAACCAACGCACCGTGGCTCGTTGTTTCGATAAATCGACATCGCGTGACTTTCAGAGGGCTGAGCACCCTGGCGGTTGAAATAAATCCAACTTTTACGTTGAATTTTAATACTGGAAATTGTGTTTTCGCAGTTAAAATACTTTCTTCATTTCAAATTATTGCTATTGTATTCAAAATTACTGAAATTTGTATGTTAAATTTTAAATAATACATGTCTATCTATAATTCAACTAGAATTTTTCATTTGGAATGCCACAGTTTTCTGCAGTGACAGCAAACAACCGATGCTTAAAAAAAATCAAATTTCGAAAGTAGACAACAATTTCGGCATTTGATCCACCATCAAAATGACCCCTGATTTCTTCGTTTTCCAATTATTAAAAGGATAGATGCTTCTCTAAACAATTATTCAAGAAATCGATTTAGCAATACGCAAACTGAATTATGAATCAATTAAAGTCTCGATAGATGCACTCTCGAAGTCCCTACAGAGGATTTTCAAAAAGTCAATTTAACTGCTCGGTTTAGTGTCAACCAAAAATTGAAATACTAAATTCAAACTCACATTCATATACTGTAGAAAAATTGGAATTTTATACTTAGTAATTACCCGCGAAAAAAAATGTACAAACCGTGGCCATTTTTTAAAGTCTCAACGTTGTCTGGCTTCTTAACGAGGCAGCATAATTCCACACTCGAGTTAGCTCGCTGTAACGGGGAAGAAAACGGTCGAAGTGCTCGTCGCGACGTCGTGGATTTATGGGCCCCGTAAAGCCCGAAAATTCATTGCCAACCGGTGGCTTCTTAAGCCGCGCGCCATCCAGCGGAAACGTTAATCGGAACCGACGCTGGGAAATCGCGCGAACGCGAGCAAAGCACGCGTGTGCAGTAAACAAATCTGCGAAGATCCGATAAGTTTCCGTTGGCAAAAAGCTCAGTGAACAACGGCCCCGCACCAGCGGCCACGTCCGCTGAAATTCACCGTCGATTTATCAGCGACGTCAAGCACGTTTCAACCGGCGTGCTTTCAATTCGCAACTTCGCGAGGTTACCTTCGTCTCTCGATATTTCGTTTGCACTTTTCTCGCGGGCGCTAACCGCATAACAATTGCACGTACCGTCATTCAAACGTTTGAAAGGGAAAATAACTGGTGCCTAAACCGATGCACTCGATTTGCATATGCAAATATAGATTACTTCGATCCGATAATTCGAACTTCTTTTACTGCACATCTCGCGTGATGTGCTAATGAACTAATTCATGCGTAACTACTTTGGTTACTGTAAAGAAAGACTATTTTCAAGGAAACCTTTATCAATTAACCTGTTAACCCCTTGACTTATGATTTCTTTCTCAACTCTGATCGATACGGCTACTTTGTTATTAATAATTTATTGGAAAAAGAGGAAAATTCTAAGCATATGTTATGCCTATATTTCCTTTTAAGTATAATAGTTGATTACAGAGGAATATTTACTTTGAATTCGAATGAACTGAGTAATATATATATTTGTTGAATCATGTTGAAAATCTTCACCACGAGTCTCGCTCGTTGTAGGGCAAGGGGTTAACTGCGAAATTTCAAAAATTTCTGGTAATACTCGCAATGAAATCGGATAATAGTGTATATTCGTTAAACGCGGGCCAAACGCATCTATAATGTGGGAATGGATGTATTTGAGTGTGTGAATAGACATATTGATGAGTGATGAATGTGTGTGCAATAGACGAATGACGCGACTGTGTGTATGAGAGCGTTTTGAATGAATGTTGAAAGTATTGGAATATTCTAGACTATATTGATTTTTATGTTAATAATGTTTGTTTTTTATGACTCTAGAATATTTCAAATACATGTTAAGTTAATGCATGGTAATGAAAGAATGTTCTAGAAAGTGTGCGAGTGAGACAAGGGCATCTGAGTGTATAAATAGTGTGTGCGTTGTTTGATTTAGTTGTTTTATTGTGAGTTGTCACGAAATAATAATACTGTTTCTAATAAAATTCTCTTTCTCCTACAATAATGTATTCTAACGATAAACTAATGCGAAACGAAGAATTATGTGTTTATCTGGAAAAATAAATAATTTAGCATTGAAAGAAGCAGTGTCATTGATTCTAAGATGACGAGTATACTCGTCGAGCACAGTTAACTGGTCAAAGAAATCATTAACTCGCATTGTAATTACGATACATTCCGAATGCTCATGATCGACGCGTGTACACGGATGGACAAGTAAAATCATCCTTTCGTTCGAGTGCCGAGAAAGATCGTCGGCGCCGTTGATAAATCGCGAATTAAAGCAACGACACCGTCGGCAAAATTGTTTGCCGCTCGCGTAACAGGTAATCGGATTTTTTCCGCTCGCCTCTCTAACAAATGGCCGACCCGCCGAAATCGCAGCGCGAGTCCCACTCGTGTGCGCGCGGAAGGCGTAGATGGCAATATTCAATAGCTAGTCGCGCGAGAAATATCGCAGCAATAAATGATCTACACGTAGCCGACGGGACGACGCCATGCTTCATCCAAGTTTCGCATCATCGCGACCGTTTGCACGCGTAACGAGCGCGTTCCTGTTGCAGAATTTATTTACGCGATTTGCACTTTCACTGCGTTCGCAACGCAGTCGCGATACTCGGTAAACGCGAAGTGTAGAAACATGTATCTAAACATAGATCTAAGTATCGACACGTGTTATTTATTTCTTGAGGTTACCTCCATAATGAATGTAAAAATTAATTGCTGATGGATTTATGAACCTAATCTTGCGAAAGTGAGCTCTGAGCCTTGGGGGTTGAAAGCTGTAGCTATGATTCACGCGTTAGATTCCAGTTTCCGAGGCATTAGCCTTGAGCTTTAACCCTTCGCACGCGATGACTCTCAGTCACCACTTGATTTGATATAGCAAAACTATAAAGTCTTATGTATGATATTAAACTTTGTACAACGCATCGGGTTATGAAATATCGGAATGCAATAACTTTATTTCTTCATGTGTGTTTTCTTAGTTAGATTCAAAGAATGTCGTGTATATTTGATTGAAGTGTTGAGTATTTCTAGCGAAAAACTTTCTACTGCAGAGGGTTAAAACCAGTGAAAGTCTTTATGCTCTGAGACTCGATACGTTTGATTCTTTGAACGTAAAGACTTGAGCATTAAAAATTAAGACTCAGATCAAACTTCCGAAGCTGTGAAAACTCAGCCTTTGAGTTTAAGCTTCGAAGTTACGAAGACTCAAGCGCTTTACAGCAG